CCCAATTGTGATTTAAGTTTGTATGTTTATATGTACAACAAATGTTTATAGCTTGCCCTTGCCTGGGTTATTAGGAATATGACCAAGCTGCCTTTACAATATTCAGATTTGTAATCTTTTTAGTTAAAAGTTTATGTAACTGCTAAATTGTCACAAATAAAAGTATAACCATTATCACCTGTTCACCTCAATTTATTCAAAATGAAAACATCATTGATAAAGGAGCTTGCAGCTGAGGGCTGAACTGTGGGATTCTTGCTGCTCTCTGAGCTTGATTGTTTTCTTGCAGATGCTTCATTATCCAAACTAGGTAATATCACCAGTGCTGATGTTACTTAGTGTACATAATGAAACATCTGCAAGAAAAGCAAGCTCAGAATTTTGTGTTGGTTTTCTGAATAAAACCTTGCAACTGAACTGTTTTATAATAACAGTCATTTTCAAAAATCACCTATCTGCTAGTTTAGTTTGTAAAAGGAAAAACTTTGATGACCATAACATACCCAGCAGTTTGGAATTGCGAAGTAAGCCCCTGTCAATCATACTATTCCCAGTCACTGTTCTGTACTCACCAGAATTTAGGTCCACCCCCACTAGTTGACCTGACTCAGCATATTCTGTTTGAACTTTAACTAGTGTTTCCTGAGGATCGTAGCCAGCATTCTGAGCAAGTACCTGTAAGAATAAATAAAGGGGAAAATAATTATTTTCTATTGTTCACTCTTATCAAAAATGAGCTACTTGGCATTTAGTGATGATAAATGCCCAATATATACTTAGAATTGACTGCCCCCCCCCCATTTCAGCTGTATCTCTGAAGACAGTTGGAAAGTCTTGTCGATGGTAACTACAGAGCTCAAGAATCTTTTAGAGGTTTTTGTCCAAAAGCTTCCTACCTTAGGGATGATCAGCAATGCATCAGCAAATGCTTGAACCCCCAGCTGGCTTCTTCCTTTCACACTGGGCTTATGCTTCACAAGGGCATCAGCTATTGCCACCTCCAGGGCTCCAGCACCTGGAACTACGCAGCCTTGAAAATCAAAAATCATTTGTTAACATCAATCCTGCAATAAAATGCAGGACAGACATCCAAGGAAATAGTGTTTAAAGGGTAACCCTGTTTCTTAAATATAAAGCTTTTGGGAGTTCTCAAGTCTTCTCAAAGGAAGTGTTTTATGTCTGGAAATCTTTCAAACTCAATACATGGTATGCCTTTGATGTTTGTACAATCATCTATGTGATAAAGTCTTATTTTACCTTTATTCCCTCCTCCCACAATAGATATATGTACCTTTAGAATAGTTTTAAGTTGAAAGGCAGGACAATAGTAACTATAATTATTTTAAAATATTGAAACTCATTTACCTGAGATTTTATTTCATTATTATGCTTCAGTTTAGGAAAGAGAGGGGGGGGGGAATTTGGTAGTAATTGCCTGAGCAGTGTATTGTAAGTTGCAACTCCTATGTTCATTCAAGATGGCTTCGTTATAATA